TTTATCTTTAAAACAGCTTCCGTTTGCTTTTTTTAAGTCATGAACTGTATGTAATGGGTTTTGCAATATTCTGCAAGAAAAAAAGGCTCCAGCCTTTTCAATAAATTTGGTGGGGATATATTTTGAACTCTGTGCTTCAGGCCTTCTGTAAAAGATTAGTTATGCATTATAATCTTGGAATAGAGTACTATACACTAAAGACAACCAGAGAGAGATGTGTCCTACGAGCATTTCTTTTTTCCAGAAAACTCTTTATGTTCACTAATGCTTGAATGTATTAAGCGGTTATTATATGGCAAACCACTTTGGTGAGCAATGATGCCAGGATCAGATATTCAGTATGATAAGGTGGCAGGTACATATATAAAATGAAGAGACAAGCCAGACATGCAGCAGGACAAAAGCAATGGAAGGAGCCATGGAGTTTGATTTACTAAAGGCAAGTATAATTTTTCCCCTATCTTAGTAAATTCAGTGAAATTTCACATTGAAAAGAATATCCAATCATGTGCAAGGAAAATAAAAAAGCACCATTTTTGTTTGTACATTATTGGAAGACGGAAGTCTGGAAGCTTCACCTCATTCACTAGGTTAAGGGAAAATTTCCTTGGAAAGTGAAAATCTCCTTTTAAAGTGAACAGCCTATTTGCCCTTAGTATATCAACCCTATTCGGTCCAGGGAGATGAGAAAAGAGAGAGATGTTGAAAGCAAAAGATACAAAGGATATTACAAATAAAGGACACCTGGAGGAAGCAAAGGTGTTATAAGGAGACAGAAGACCCAAATGCAAAAATAGTCTTTGACACACAAGACACCTTTATATTGTGGAAGTGCAAAGAGACAGTAGAGGTACAAAATTAATGGTGTGCAAAGAGGTGTAATTGATTGGATTCCAGGGCTGGAGTAAACATTTTTTAAAGAGAAGTATAGCCAAAGCTTCTACTGTGGGTCACTCTCCTCTGACCCAGAAGGAGTAAATAGCATTCTAACGTCCGATGTCGGCTGACGTCACAGACAGACTATAGAAGGATCCCAACCATATTGTCGGGATCCACCCAGATGCTTGATCCACAACTGACAGCCACTCCCACCACCTACTACAGAGCCCAGAGCTGGTGGGGCAGAGCATTGAGCAGTGAATGACAGTCACTGCTCTCTGCTCAGAGCGATGGAGAACAGAGATCAGCGATGTGATTGAACTGAGAGATCTACAGTCATGTGATTGCACCAATGCTGCAGCATGGAGGTGAGTATATATGTATAACACAGCCAAGGTGAAATCATAAGGGCAATTACTACATGCAAATGTTAGAACAATTACTTGAATTTTGAAAAATGTTGCTAAGCACCCTGAAGGTTGTGCTGTAAGAGGTAGAGTTTTCAGTAGTTTAGTAATTTACAGTCTTTGAGTTTTATATACCAGGCTATTGTAACTGAAAGTATTTCACAAGTTGCAACCCAAACAAGCCAAGGTGAAATCATAAGGGGCAATTAACATGCAAATGTTAGAATTGAATTTGAGAACAACCTCAACACATTAAGTTCAGTTCATGATGTAATTAAATAAGATCAGAGCCCATTCAGTCAGAGTACATAACAAATTTCACAAGAACAATGATCACGCCAGGTATCTAAAGCCGGTCATACATGGATCAAAATTTGTCCGGTTTAGCAGGGACCAGACAAATTTCAATCAATGCATGGCACCTGGTTGTACAGAAGTGGATTGGTAGATTAAACTCTGTACAACCACTCTGTCAGATAGATTTCACTCAATCAGTACCATCGGCTATAGTGGAGACTACAACGAACAATAGCCCAGCAGGAGTGCTTCCCATCTTCAACCTTGAATGTGTGGATGGGGGAATCAGGTCACTTTTTTTACATTCAACCTGCTGGTTCAATGAAAATATTGACCCATCTATGGACAGCTTTAGGAACGGGTGCCAACTAACTATAGATTCTGGATTTTAGAACATATTGTTTATACAGTACATGCCCTTAATAGTAATGTGTATCTTAAGGCAAAACTTTATTGCCAGGTTTTTATTAATGTCTGTATCCCCGCTGGAGAGATTCTTTCTCTCTATTTGTCCTGGTGACCACTGCCAACAGGGACTGAAAGAGAAGAAAATACAATATTTTGAGTTGTTGCCAAAAAATTAATAGAAGGAAATCTTCCAGTGGGGGAACTTGCTCCAATAAGAACTGTTCAGGAGGGAATTTCTCTATATTTTGAGGTTTCATTTCAATACCTATTATGTCTACAAGTCAGTAAGTTAAAGGACATCTCCCAATTTGAAAACAAAAACTTGACAGGGGTTTTTACTCTTACATACGATAACCAAAATAAAAATACGTTTTGAATTTCAATACACTTGCAATACAGAGCACTAGCTTAAGAAATGTGAAATTTGAATGTTCAGGCAATCTAATGTGCACAATCACGGTCAAGTACACAACGAGTATTGTATAATTGTATGCACACATCTAATCAAGGATGTTAGTCCAAACAGGATTCCAGACTTCAGGGTGTTTACAAAAGGCGAAAAGAAGGGGTTCTTTTAAACCAAAAGAACAGAACATACATGTTAAATTCTAGCATATAGTTTTTTTTCCCCATTAAAAAAATAAATAACAAAACAAATAACTGAAACAAGATTTATCAGCATATCATGAAAAAAAAGTAACAGCATTGATTATAGTAATAAGTTCTGTGAATTAGTCAAGAGGTAATGAGCATCTCAAAATGTAATAAATACATAGATGCAAAATTATTAAATTGTTATCCCGTCTTCATATTCTTTTTTGCAATTAAGTAACATCTTACTGTAGCTATAAGCATGACCTCCAGGAAGTCTGAGCCAACTCTGATGACTTGTTAGCAATAAGCACTCAGAAAATGTCTTTGCACAGTACTTACATGTTGTTACCATACAAATGTGTTCGGCTGCTGGAACATTATGCTGCAAATACTTGGAAAAAGATCAGCAGCTAGGAGACTATAAAGAAAGAACAAGGCAAATCCTTTTAACTCCAAAATTGTTAAGCAACAGGCAGGTTCTTGCTATAACATTATCATCTAAAAAAAAAGTTACATCCAATGTAACATATTTCTATCTACAGACAACTACAGACAATCTACAGACAATCTACAGACAACTGTGATCTTTACCATCAACAAAGAAAGCATATTTTAAATAAAGATGAGCAAACTTCTGAAAAGCTCTATCAATTTGATTTGGACAAGCTTTTTAAAAATTTGCAGACATCAAACACCAATACCACTGACATCAATGGAAATATAAATTAGGCTTTAGGGATGAATAATTTTGCTCCTTGCCAAAAGAAACACATTGGGGTGTGGGGCATCACTGATAGATTGGTCTCTTTGTTGGACTGATAAATAAATGGATATGAAGCATTTAATACAGTGAGCGGTTCATTTTCATCTTTTGGAGTTACTGTAGAGTTTGTAGGGGAGCTTGCAAGTGGCTTGTAATGGCTCCAAGAGCGCAAATCCGTGCCCCACTTACTCCCTTTCAGAACAACAACCAACCTGCTTAAGGCCTTAACCCTGCTCCATCTTGTGCCCTCTCCATGCCGAAAGCCTCCTTACAACGTTCCCAGCCTGTAAGCTCTATATCTCCAAAGGAAGGAATATCCACACAGAAATGGAGTTGCTGCACCTTACTGATTTGGAACATAGCAAACACACTAACATCACATCGACATACGATCTGGGGTCACTTGACAGAACATTGTCAGTCGCACATAGTGGACAATCCACAACAGTCACATGTGAAAGCATCACACAGTGCATTTAATAAGCCAACTTCCCTCACTCAGTCTCTCTCCACTAGGGGTCATTAGTACTCATTCAGAGGTTTTGATTCACCTTGGGCTGTCTTTGTCCACTCACTGCTCCTAATAGGTAACCTCACTAAGATGGGAACACTGTAAACACCTCTTACTTGGGTACACCACCTCCAGGGGAATATCTTCACTCCAGGGAACACTTGGCCTGGCCTAAAAGGTATTTTGCAACCTGCCCTAACCCCTGTCACCATAAGGGTCAGGAAGTCTACAGACGGCTCTTCTGGGTGCAGGTCTACCTCTCCCTGGCTTCTAGCCCTTTCCAGAGCCTACACTGGCTGGCTACATCTGCTGAGAAGTGGAGTGTTTGGCTCCCATGCCCCATCTGCACTAGGGCTCCTCCCAACCTGGCTTATTTTTGTGCAGTGACTCACCCATTACTTCGCTACAAAAGTGTTTGAGCTAAAGGGGACCTAGCCCCTGATTACACTATTCTCTGTAACTATAAACTCTTCTGGAACATAGCCTCCTAGTGGCAGACAAGCTAACTGTACATGCTTACATGTTGATTCACCATGGGTTTGGGAATCCTGTTTTATGTTTAGCAAACCCATATTTAGTGGCAAATTCCATTAAAGTCAAATCCTGTCAACAAATTCTGTCAAAAAAGAGCACTGCCATGGAGGACAATATATTAATGCAATGATTTAAATGATTTTAAAAAATGTACATTTAGGAGAGTGTATTTTCATGTGACAACATTGAAAATACATAGATCCCTAAAATAACATGCTTGGAGTGATGACTTAGATTTTTGCATGGTATTATGGACCAGTACAATCATCACATACAGTCACAGTGACAACATACACGGCCAGCACATATTTACCTTTGGAAGTTATTTTTTACAATTAGATTTACATACAGCAGCAGCACAGGTGATTCATTCCAGTTTGAAAAAAACAAACAAACTTTCGACACATGCTTTTTCATCCAGTGATAATAGGCCCTGCATTGATTGGGAGTTAGAATTATGTTCTTTTTCTGGAATTAAAATGGTTCTAAAGCCTAAACATTTTTTACCTTAAGGCATTCCTTGCATTAACCGCCTCCTGCCAGCCATATAGTGTACTGACGGGCGCCAAGCGGTTCTCTCATCCGTTCTAACCGAGCATGCTCGGCCCTGGGAGTGCGATCGGTGGTGCGCTGTGTCCCTCGGATACAGCGGATCACCGATCAATGGAAAGAGCCGAAGATGTCGGCTCGGTCATGTGATCAGCTGTGTCCAATCACACCTGATCGCATGTAAACAAGGAAATGCCGGTTATCGGCATTTTTCTCCTCACGAGCTGTTACACTGACAGCTCGAGAGGAGAGCAGAGCCCATAATCGGCATCCCTCAGAGGGGACATGTGCACTGATCATCCGGGCACTGATGATCGGTGTGCCCTGATGATCTGTGTAGCCTCAGCTGTGCCACCTGTCAGTGTCCATCAGTGCCAGCTTTCAGTGCTCATCCATGCCACCTGCCAGTGCCCATCAGTTCCACATTAATGCCACATATCAGTGCCTACCAGTGCACATCAATGCCACATATCAGTGCCCATCTGAGCTGCCTTTCAGTGTCACCCATCAGTGCCAGTCAGTGCTGCCAGCCAGTGCCACCTATCAGTGCCAGTCAGTGCCACCTATCAGTGTGCATCAGTGCCGCCTATCAGTGCCCGTCAGTGCTGCCTATCAGTGCTGCCTAACAGTGCCAGTCAGTGCCACCTAACAGTGCCAGTCAGTGCCGCCTATCAGTGCCACCTATCAGTGCCGCCTATCAGTGCCATATATGAGTTCTGCCTTTCAGTGCCCATCAGTGATGCCTGTCAATGCCCATCAGTGCCACCTACCAGTGCCTCCTCATCAGTGCCGCCTATCAGTGTCCATCAGTGCAGCCTATCAGTGCCCATCACTGCAGCCTCATTAGCACACATCAGTGAAGGAGAAAAATCACTTATTTACAAAATTTTGTAACAAAAACTAAGAAAAAACTTTTTTTTCACAATTTTCAGTGGTTTTTGGTTTGTTTAAGAAATAATAAAAACCCAGAGGTTATTAAATACCACCAAAATAAAGCTCTATCTGTCACAAAAAAATGATAACAATTTCATATGGGTACAGTGTTGCATGACCGCGCAATTGTCATTCAAAGTGTGACAGCGCTGAAAGCTGGAAATTGGCCTGGGCAGGAAGGGGGTATAAGTGCCCTGTAGGCTAGTGGTTCAGGAAAAAAATGTTTATGCATCAGCATCTCCCCTCACCCCCCTTTTGCTTACCTGAGCCCTCATTCGATCAAGCACTGTGCACGCCTGCAGCTCTTCTCTTCCCTCACTTCCCTTCCTCCCTGGCTTTGCTGGGGTACCGGGAGCCATTGGCTCCCAGCGCTGTGAGTCAAAGCCAGTGATGAGGGATCAGGGGGGACAGGGCTGAGTCCCTCTGTCTGTGTCAATGGATACGGCAGTAGGGCAAAGGCTTCCAGTGGGGACATTGGACAGAGGGCCAATTCCATTGCATAGAGCAGGTAACTATAGACATGTTTGTTATGTTTTGAAAAAAAAATATTTTGCCTTTACAATCGCTTTAAGTAGATGTTATCTTCAATAGACATAATGGGGGAAATTTACTAACTGATACACACAGAATCTGATACAGCTATGTATAGTAAAGAATGAGCTTCTAGGTTTTATTGGCAAATCCTAACTGAACAAGCAGAAGTTAAAAGCTGATTGGCTATCATGCACAGCTGCACTAGATTTTGCACTCTCCAGTTTTAGTAAATTCCCTTTGCAACAGAATAAATATTGTAAATTGTACTCCCTTTTGTCAACAACATAGTGATCTGAATACCCCTGCTTGCAGGGTTATTATGCACAGCTGCATCAGATATTGTGTGCACCAGTTTTAGTAAATCTCCCCCAATTTGTCTACCTGAATATTTATTCCACTCAATTTGTCCCTCTGTTGGGTTTGACATGTCTGCTGTAAAATGATGTAATTCTGTTGCTTAGTTTTGGAGACATGTAAATTAAGCATTTTTATATACTGTGTGGAAAACATATTATATGCTATTAAATGATATAAAATGATGCATCTAACTTTGTATAGTGCTCTTTACAGGTCAATTCCAGTATGGCGGAGGTCATCAACCTGTTGATCGCAATCTACCTGTTGATCACGGGCAGGTGACAAGTAGATCATGTCCCTTACTTGCCGACCCCAAAACCTAAACAGGAAGGGTTTCATGGTAAGCACTTACTAGAATAGAACAACTCCTCTCCCTCCCACTGGCATTCAGATGCTGGAGGAGGAAACTATAGGGGATCAGTTCTAGTAAATGCTGCCCCGCTGCCCTTCCTGTCAAGGTTCCTCTTCCTGTTGGTGCTCGGCCTTCTATGTGCTCCGCTAGTCCCCTGATCATTGCAAGATGGAGAGAGGGGAAGGGCCGATACATATGTAATATACCGTCCCTTTCCTTTTCTGAATAAACACAGTGAGTGATCAGTACCGACCACTTACTGTGTTCATTCATAACTGAAGCATAAGAAACTACTATGCTTCAGTTTATGAATGAACAGGAAGCCGCTCAGCATAGAGGGCTTCCTCTTTACTCACTGTCCAGTGCAGCTGAGGCTGTAGAGAAAGGGAACCACTCCCTCATTCTCTTTCTCTGTCTCAAAAGTGAGACATCATAGTCTGTTTAGAAATTTGATATTTCACCAAAGCCCCCCAACAGGGCAGGTAAAAAATGATAAACATAATATTGTAAAAAATAATAAATCAATTGCAAAAAATACAAAATAAAATAATAGATATTAAACACTACTGACACCATCCACTGCCCTACTGACACCAACCACTGCCCTACTGACATTATCCACTGCCCAACTGACATCACCCACTGCCCTACTGACACCATCCACTGTCCAACTGACACCAACCACTGCCCTACTGACATTATCCACTGCCCAACTGACATCACCCACTGCCCTACTGACACCATCCACTGTCCAACTGACATCAACCTCTGCCCTACTGATACCATCCACTGCCCTACTGACACTGTGTATACACCATGCACCTCCCTACTGACACTGTCCACACACTATCCACTGCCCTATTGACACTGTCCACACACCATCCACGTACTTACTGACATCTACTTACACAGTTCACTGCCCTACTGACACTGTCCACACACCATCCACTGCCCTACTGACCAGAGGCATAGCTGGAAGCTGGTGGGCCCCAATGCAAAAGTTGACCTGGGGCCCCCACTACCACACGCACCAAGATACTCCCACCACACATTCATATACTCCAAGTGGCTAAAGAGTTATTTCAGATGTTTATTTACATATTAAGAGGGTAATTCAAAAGATTTTGGAGACACTTCCCACATTTTGACATACAGTACCTCCCCAATTCTTTTGAATACTCTGAAGCAGGGGTAGGCAACCTTTGAGACGTGGAGATCTACCTGAACAACAAAGAAAGAGATCAAAAACCACCAGGGTTCAGCACATTTTTTAAAAAAGAAATTAACTAGTAAAAACTTAACTAAACAGTAAGGATGGTGTCAGTAAGCCGGTGGACAGTGTTTGTAGGGCAGTGGATGGTGCCAGTAGGCAGTGGACAGTGGATGGTGTCAATAGGGCTCTGTCAGTGAAGCAGAGGATGGGGTCAGTAGAGCAGCGGAGGGTATCACTAGGGCACAGTTTACTATGCTTCAGTTATGAATGAACACAGTAAGTGATTAGTGCCATTCACTTACTGTGTTCATTCAGAAAAGGAAGGGGCCAGTAAATGGCATCCTGATGTCATCTGAGTAGATCCTCCAGTGGGAGAGGAGAGGGGGGAAGCCAGAAGTGCTGTGGGGGACAGGGGAGCATACAGGGGGTCCACGCAGCAGAAAACAGGAGTAAGAATGGGGGGATGGCATATACACTATATTGCCAAAAGTATTGGGATGCCTGTCTTTACATGCACATTAAGGCTTTAATAGTATCCCAGTCTTAGTCCATAGGGTACAATATTGAGTTGTCCCACCCTTTGCAGCTATAACAGCTTCAACTCTTCTGGGAAGGCTGTCCACAAGGTTTATGATTGTGTCTATGGGAATGTTTGACCATTCTTCCAGAAGCACATTTGTGAGGTCAGGCACTGATGTCGGACGAGAAGGCTTGGTTGGCAGTCTCTGCTCTAATTCATCCCAAAGGTGCTTTATCGGATTGAGGTCAGGTCTCTGTGCAGGCCTGTCAAGTTCCTCCGCCCCAAACTCGCTTATGCATGTCTTTATGGACCTTGCATTGGTGCGCAGTCATGTTGGAACAGGAAGGGGCCATCCCTAAACTGTTCCTACAAAGTTGGGAGCATGAAATTGCCCAATTTCAGGGGGGGCAAGCCCAACCCCTGAGAAACAACCCCACACCATAATCCCACTTCCACCAAACTTTACACTTGGCCCAATGCAATCAGGCAAGTACTGTCCTCTTGGCAACTGCCAAAAACAGACACGCCCATCAGATTGCCAAACATAGAAGCATGATTCATCCAGAGAACAGGTCTCCATTGCTATAAAGTCCAGTGGCGGCGTGCTTTACACCACTGCATCTGATGCTTTGCATTGCATTTGGTGATGTAAGACTTGGATGCAGCTGCTCGGCCATGGAAACCCATTCTATGAAGCTCTCTATGTACTGTTGTTGTGCTAATCTGAAGGCCACATGAAGTTTGGAGGTCTTTAGCTATTGCCTCTGCAGACAGTTGGCGACTTCTGCTCACTGTGTGCTCCAGCATGTTCTGACCCTGCTCAGTCATTTTACATAGCCTACCACTTCGTGGCTGAGTTCTGTTGTTCCTAGTTCCCAGCTTCCACTTATAATACCACTAACAGTTGGAATATTTAGTAGCAAGGAAATTTCACAGATGGACACAGGTGGCAACCAATCACTGTGCCACGCTTGAATTCACTGAGCTTCTGAGAGCGACCCATTCTTTCGCAAATGTTTGTAGAAGCAGTCTGCAAGCCTAGGTGCTTGATTTTATATACCTGTGGCCATGGAGGTGATTGGAACATCTGAATACAATGATTTGGAAGGGTGTCCTAATATGTTTAACAATATAGTGTATATGGAAATGGATTCTCTCCAATTTCCTCCTGCAGTCACTAAATGTTGGGAGGGAGAGAAGGAGAAGCAGGCTTTCAGTGGCTGCAGGAGGAAAATGGAGAGGATCGGGTCCTGTTTATGCTGGCCCCACCACGCCTCCGGTCAAGGTGTATAACAAATGTGACATGGAAGCCAAACAAGCCCCCTGGAGTATGGGAAGGGTCACTATTGCAACCCCTGCGATCTCTGATTCTATGCCAGTGCTACTGACCTTTTCCACTGCTGTACTGACACTGTCCACTATTATGGTGGGCTAAGTTTATATTTTTACAGTGACATTTTTACAGTTCTTATATTTTTAAAAATTTTCCTTACTGTTTAGGTGGGCCTTGCTAGTTAATTTCTATTTTTAAAAAAAAGAACCACAGTGATCTTTGAACTTTTCACATTCTATGTCTTCACCTCTCAAAGGTTGCGTACCCCTGTCTATGATTTTGGACCTGGTGGTG